CTACAGCAGGAGCTTTGAAGTCACATATTAAAAGTAAACATGAAGGAGTGAGATATCCCTGTGATAAGTGTGAATACGCTGCTACTACAGCAAGTAGTCTGAAGAAACATATTAAATGTAAACATGAAGGAGTGAGATATCCCTGCGATCAGTGTAAATACGCTGCTACTACAGCAAGTAGTCTGAAGAAACATATTGAAAATAAACATGAAGGAGCAAGATACTCCTGTGATCAGTGTGAATACTCTGCTACTACAGAAAGTAGGCTGAAGAAACATATTGAAAATAAACATGAAGGAGTGAGATATCCCTGCGATCAGTGTGAATACTCTGCTACTAAAGCTAGTTATCTGAATAGACATATTGAAATTAAACATGAGGGAGTCAGATATTCCTGTGACCAGTGTGAATACGCTGCCACTGCAGCAGGTTCTCTGAGGATACATATCGAATATAAGCATGAAGGAGTTAGATATCCCTGTGATCAGTGTGAATACGCTGCTACTACAGCAGGAGCTTTGAAAAAACATATTGAAAATAAACATGAAGGAGTGCGATATCCCTGTAAGCAATGTAAATATGCTGCCACTACAACATGGTATCTTAAGAAACATATTGAAAGTAAACATGAAGAAGTAAGATATCCTTGTGACCAGTGTGAATATGCTGCCGTTACAGCTGGTCATCTAAAGAAACATATTGAAAATAAGCATGAAGGAGTGAGATATCCTTGTGACAAATGTATGCACGCTGCCACTTCCACAAGTCATCTGAAACGGCATAAAAAGAGGAAACATAATAATAATAATAAAAGGGGTGTGTTGTTAATTTGCTCTGCACTGTAAACTTCATTATTTTCTTATTGTTTAACCCAAGGTTTAAGCACAATATATTTATCTTTCTATTTATTCATTCATTATTATTTATTTTCACTATTCTCTTATTTCTTTTCATTTAACTTCATATTCAAAGGAATAAAATAGTGAAAATCAACAAATAATTTTGATGTTAGTATTAGAAAAATTTCCTTATCCTTTCCTTTTATATTTCCTTCTTGTCATACCCTAGATCAGATTTATGTTTATCAGTTGATGATTACTATTATTTACACTGTAGACCCTTAATAACTTTAAAAACATTTAATTTAGAAAGATTGAGTCCGGATTGCTTTTGTTTAATAATTAAAGTTTTTTGTGTATCATTAGTAAAGAAATCTCGTTTAAAGCGTTTACATGATTTTTTATCTTTCAGTATTTCACATTTTAGTTATTTTTTTATATTTCAGATAGAATGGCAGAAAACAAAGATTTAATTTTACAAATTTTAAAAATACTATTAATACAACAAAAGAAATAAAATTGGAAGAGTTTGAAATGAAAGAAGAAACAGTTTCCATCAAGGTAGAAATTCTTCCAGGTTCTACTGTAGAAGATATTTTTACAGTTTATGTACAGGGGAAAGACATGAAGATGGAAAGTAAGACAGAAGTTCCTGGAAATTTTATTTTAAAACAGATAGAAAAAAAAACTTTTTTCAAAAACACTTTCAAGAATATCAGGTAAATTTGAAATAAAAATGCAAAAAAGGTTATTTTAAGAGGGAGGCGCAAACCTTCTGAACCACAGTTAACTTCACACCTTCTTCCGAGCCTCTTAAATATTCCTTGGACCACAGATAGTTGGAATTTACAATGTTCAATGCAGTGTTCTTCCACAAACATTGATTTGTCAATTATTTTTGATTTTCGTGAAATTATGGTTGTATATTAGAACACTTGAATCATTTTTATTTCATTTTTATAAATTTATTTTTATTCTTAAACTTTCTAAGATCTCTGATGATCTTTGTTGCGTTTTTACCTCTCATTACATCGTTGACAGTTCCTTCCACCAGTAAATCTACCATACTTGTAAGATCTCTACGGATCTAAATGTCGTCATGTTCAGGGTATCTCCAAACCAAACGCGGCATGACGAGCAGATAGAAACTCCCCTGAAGAGAAGACAGTCGGCTGGATTCATGGAGCTCTTATCTCAACTTATAAACAATGTAACCGTGAATAGTTTGATATACTCTAGACTTTACAAGTGACTTAAACTTTTGAGCTTTATATATTCTCGTTTAAACCTCATTTTTTCTCATTTAATCGAATATATGTAAAAGTTTTATATCTTAAACTTAAAGTTTTATACCTGAGAAGTAGTTAAAGCCAGCTTTTTTCCTTTTTAAAAGAAGATTTATCCTTATATTTTACTTTCAGAATTAGAATGGGTTGATTTCCTATTCTTACCTCGTGCAGTTGCCCAGGTTGTGTTTAATCAAGGTCTATAAAACATCTGTTTAAATTTCAAATATTATTTCTAATGATTTATCGATTGCTCCAAATCTTTGTTGCACAGATGATTTATGTATGGAACCCTAGATATCTCTGAGTAAGCCCTTCTGATCAACTCCACCACCATAGATCTACTCATCATGAAGCCGATGCTTGGGGAACATGTCTCCTCCACGTTCCTCTTGTAAGGCTCAGCCTAATGATATATATACCAGGTGAACATTTAGTGAAAATGAACCTTTGAACCTAAACCTTAAACCGTAACAGTCTCACATTATTTATCTTAACAAAGAATTATGTTAGGATTAGACTGAACCTAGTTGCTACTCAATAGCCTCCCCCTTTCCTCGCACTCCGGAGCACCTGTGTTCTGGATGATGTGCTCGACGGATCTTACTTGGAACCTCGTCGTGATATTCTCCTCCGGCTCAAGCATGACGGACCTGTAAAGCTTGTACTGGATCATCTTCTCGAGACCTACCTCTTACCTCACCCACTGGTGCAGCCATCTGTTATTATAAAGGTGAATAACATGATAAACTCTCGAGTTCTATGATTAACTTGTGCTAACATTAACCTATTTAGCCTAAGTCTGCGTGGTCGATGAACTCTTTCATGACCTCCACTTAGCAGTGGACCAAAGATTGTACCTCCTCTCTCACGTGTACCTCTACCTCTACTGGACAGACTGATCCTAGGCTCAACCTGCGGATCATTTATAGGTACTTTATTACTTCATATGCGTCCCTGTGATTAATGTGATCAAACCGTTACTTTAACTAAGGATTCGAGGAAACACTTAAGGAGTTGAATCTAATTAGAATTAGAATTAACAGCTACCTGAAATTTTTCTATTTAACGGTTAGCCCTAACCGTTAATGAAACGGCAAGAAAAAGTTTGAGTACGTGCCCAGCCCTTCAGTCCCTCTTAAAAGTCTGAAAGGGACTGTAAAGGAAAAATGAAAGGGGGTATTGGCTGAAAGCTAATCACTTTAGGTCTTGATCGTGACCCATGAAAGTTTTATCTGATGTTCCTGTCTCGAGAAACTGATATAAAACTGTGTTAAAATTATACGAAAATTCATATATGTAAAATTTTGAAAATCTGAAACTTAAATCACGTGACCAGAACTATCACCAATGGCAGAGCAGTATGCTGGTCATGTGTCTCCGCCTCTATCACGTGACCACTTTACTGCACTGCCATTGGTGGAATTTCTGGTCAAGTAATACGGACGTAAAAATAATATTATAAATGAAATCCATTGAAAATAGAAATAACAAATTTAAAAGTAAACCTAAATTACAATTAGCTTTCTCTGGGATATCATCGTTTTCAGATTGGTTTCTTATTTGCTCAATATGATCTGTTTAAACCTACTACTTTTATACAAAATTGTATATATATTAATTTTCGTATAGAGTTGACACAGTTTTATCAATTTCTCGAGACAGGAACATCAGATATGACTTTCATGGGTCGCGATCAAGAGCTAAAGTGATTAGCTTTCAGCCTATACCCCCTTTCATTTTTCCTTTACTGTCCCTTTAATATTGTGGTACGTAAGCTTTAAGGGGTGAAAAATAGAGATGGAAACGTTTCTTTAAAAATATCTGTTTTTTCAAAAGATTGATATACATATTGTATCATAAAAATGGTCAAACATAATTTATTTCTTTTCTTAATCTTTTAGTTTGGATTAGTGAAATGCAATGCAGTGTAGAATGAAAATGTAGATAATAGATTGCCTGAGGAAGGGAAGGGAAGCAGATGTAATATTAAATGAGCCACCACCCCCCCTTCCTCATTAGCCCCTGAATTGAAAGAAAGGCACAATTGATGCAAAAATGAAAAGATTTCAGAATACATTTAATGTCTATTTTCACCAAAAAATTGAAACACAAGGCATGCATGTGCAATGTCCATTTTAAAGGGAAGATTTTGACCAAAACCAGCCCCCCCGCCCCCCTTTATGCGTGCCCCCTCTGAGAGGCTGAAGGGGGGCACCCATGGGGGAGGCTCATTTAATATTACATCTGCTTGCATTTCCCTTCCTCAGGCCAGGCACAGTGGCATACCTAGGGGGGGCAGTAGTCCTCTTGCCCCCCCTGGGAGTTCTAGGCAGGGCACTGCCCCCCTGGAAAATACAAAATTAAAAGGAAACTACGTTTAAAAAGTAACACCTGACAATGACAAAGACTAAGGATTTGTCTAAATTCACTTTTAATACAAGGAGAGAAAAGTTTTAGCCTTCTAAAAAGAATTCTTCATTACACAAGATGTACTATGACGGAGAGCAGACTTAACGATCTTGCACTTATAGCTTTACACCCTATATATGGCTATCTGAGCATCTCTACTGAAAAATTATTGAAATTTTTGTGCAAGCAAATCCCAGAAAATTGTAGCTGAAAAGAGTTGGAGAATTATAACTCCCCAGGAAGAACATCCCAGTAAACCAGATCACATCGACTAAGCGTCGATTCCACATTGCCTTTGCAACCTTGACGTGGATATATCGTCGTATATTATCATGTTTAACCTCTTATCGACGTGGGATCGCACTATTTGTGGCGCTGTTACAATGTCGCATTAGATAACATTGTATCGACGTCGTCCTCAACATTGTCATAACGTCATTTTTGAAATTTTCCGACCATTTAATTTTACCTTGAAATGACGTTGAATCGACATGTCAGCCACATGAATAACCTTTGAGCGACTAAATTTCAACCATGTATCAAGGTCAGGGCAACCTTATTCTGACCATAAATCGACCTTTAATAAACTATTGATTAACCCTAAAAATGTACACTGTTTATTTTTATTTGTACTTGCCGTGTCAAAATACAGAGATACAGCACAATAATTCCCGATATTAGAAGTATTTTGACAGTGCAAGTGCAAATTAAAATTGTCAGTGCATTAAAAGCCTAACTAAAGCATTCACTTAGTCAATAATAATATATTTTGTTATAAATAAATAAGATAAAGACAAAAAAATGAACATTAAACTAACAAATAATGCTACTTAAAATATTAAATATTAATGATAAACTACAGTGATACCCATAAAACTGTGGAATATTAAGACGACATTTTAGCAATCATCACTGAACACTTGATGTGTTTCTTGTTGTTTGGACTTTGTAAATTAAGTCTAAAAGTTGTCTTCCTATTCCACTGTTTTGTGGTTTTTATAAAATATTGATGAAATCATGTATCACTGATTCCACAGATAGGATAAAAGATGTACTCTTTTGTTTAAACCTTTTACATATTGCTTGATGCACAAAACAAGAGTTAAATGAGCATGTATCAAGATAAAAAACATATGCAAAAATTTCTGACCTTTAAGTCAATAATACCTTTTGTCTTATCTGTGTAATTTGTACAACAAATTTTAAAAAGAAATTTGATAAATATAAAAATTACTGTTAATAATAATAACGTTTTGGAATTAATGGCCTTGTTATAAAAGGATTAAAAATACAATTCAATAAAGGGAAAACCAGATAATCATTGGACTAGGAAGACGACATTAAAACAATATTTAAGTTTATTTGATGTTTTTACATTATAAATGGTTTTACTTTCAGTAGTATAAAATTAACATTGTTGTGCTTCATGTTCATTGAACTATTTAAAATCATAACTTGAGTCTAAAAGTCGTCTTCCTATTTCACAGATTTCTGGTTCTCACTGCAAAAATGCAGGGACACATGTGTCATGTATGTATGTATCGAGCCATGATAATAAAACAAATGAAGCCACTGTATATGCCCATGAATTTGCTATGGCTTTAAATTTGCCCTCCAAAAAATAGAAAAATTATCTAAATGTTGCAGGATTTCTTTTTTATAAAACTGATATGTGCAATGTTTGTCACACTTGTGCATCCTCTTATTAAGTAGTAAAGTTTTAGTTTTGGACAGTTTCAGGCATAAGGTAGGTTTCATCTTCTTCAAATGAATAAAGTAGGATCAGAAGTTGAAACTTTGTAGAATCTTTTAACACTTGATCGATCACAATATCCAATTTGGGCACTTCTAAATTTGAGGATAAATTTATCCCTGCAGGGTATGAACACCGCGGGATATCGAAGATGAATTGAATTCATCTGTAGGACTGCATTTGATGGAGCTTAAGGCTTAATCCTGACTTCTTAATCTTGACTTCAGGATGAAGAAAATATCCAGGTTTTCTAAAACAAAAATCTAATAATATAACTTATAAATGTAAAAAATCTTCAAGCTTTATTTATTATAATTCTGGAATAACAAGTGAAAACTCCGTTTATAAACTGCCATTGTGCAGATCTTTATAAAAAATATTTTAAACAAATAATTTGTTGAAAGACAATTTCCAAAATTAAAAATTGATTTTTAACTAAAACTTTTCAGCCTTCCTCTCAACAAAGGAAATGATAAAAATACTTTTAAAAAGTTTGTAGACATAATTTTTAGTGACTGCGGAATTATAGCGTGGCATGTCAGATTTACAACAACACCCTTAAAGTGACTGTAAGCGTGATTTCAAATGACCCTCCATGCAAAGATGGCAATGCCCGTATCACAACTCTTAGTATGAGTTAAATATCATATATTTATCATTTTGAAAACTGATTATTTTCTCTTGAAATTAGGATTTCTCTACAAAAGTGACTTGCGAATTTCTACAGCAGGATAACTATAGGAGTTGTCAAAATGAAACACTTTTAAACCTAGAAAAAACAACAACATCTTCCACATTATTGATAAAATAAAGGGTACCATTGTGAATCGCGTCTTGTAATCTTTCATGGAGGGTCTCTTGAAATTAGATTTACAGTCCCTTTAAAAACATTAAAATGATAATATTAAAAGTATTCTTACCATTTTGATAATCATCCCGTTCATCTTCATCCTCCTCCTCCTCCTCCCCAGAACTCTCTTCAGATAAAAGAGCTTCCATCTCATCCCTCATCCGTCCCACAACATCATCCTTCATCCGTTCTATACTACCAATCCTCAGATCAAGGGAACTAGAATGAAATTTGTCTGATCAAGTAATAATTTTAGATATTAATGTTTATAATTTTGAAAACTGTTGGATCCCCATCGTCATTTTGAAAAAATTGAATACAAGGAAATTACCAAAAAATGTTGAAATTTTTTTAACTAATTATAAAAGTTCTCGTTATTAGTACGAAACAGATTTAGCAAATACAAATTTAGCCGATTTAAGCATCATCCGCCTGGGCCGAAAGTAGTTTTTTCGATCTGGTGCCATTTTATCTTTAAAACACTATTTTGATATAACTTATACAAAATTGAGCCTTAATAAAACTTAGTCTTATTAAACTATACATTTAAGACTAACGTTAATTATGGACGATTCTAAATGTAAAAAAACGTAAAAAGTGTTTTATGTGTTAATTATAATCATTGACATTAATTCTTTCCGTTTTTTTATAAACAATTGCCGGCGAGGAATGCCCCGTACTCTTGTACCAGATTTGGTTTTGAAATTGAATCTAGTAAAGACAATTGAAAGACGACATTTAAAAATCTTCAAACTTTATACTTATAAAAATTTGTGATGGAAAAGGTAAGTCACAAATGCGACGATATTACAAAGTGGTAATCTATACTCAAATGACGGTCGTAAATACGACGTTAATACCACGTTGAAATGGTCGAAGCAAATGACGTCATAATTGGTTAAGATGTCAACGTCGATATGATGTCAATATGTAGTTGTCCATGGTCGAAAAAATTTTGAAATTATTTCGACCAGATTCCATGTCGACTCCACGTGGGAAAAACGCCCAAATGGCGACCTTCTGGTCGTGCGACGATATCTGGTTTACTGGGCATCTGATTCCCTCCAGTGGAATTATAAACCCCCTGGGAAAGATATCTGAATCCCTCCAGTGGAAATATAAACCCCCAGGAAGGATATCTGAATCCCTCCAGTGGAAATATAAACCCTTAGGAAGGATAACTGAATCCCTCCAGTGGAATTATAACCACCCAGGAAGGATATCTGAATCCTTCCAGTGGAATTATAAACCCCCAGGAAGAACATCTGAATCCCTCCAGTGGAATTATAAACCCCACTGGGAAGGATATCTGAATCCCTCCAGTGGATTTATAAACCCCTAGGAAGGATATCTGAATCCCTCCAGTGGAATTATAAACCCCATGGAAGGATAACTGAATCCCTGCAGTAGAATTATAAACCCCCAGGAAGGATATCTGAATCCCTCCAGTGGAATTATAAACCCCCAGGAAGGATAACTGAATCCCTGCATAAACCCCCAGGAAGGATATCTGAATCCCTCCAGTGGAATTATAAACCCCTAGGAAATATATCTGAATCCCTCCAGTGGAATTTAAACCCCTAGGAAGGATAACTGAATCCCTCCAGTGGAATTATTAACCCCTTGGAAGGATAACTGAATCCCTCCAGTGGAGTTATAAACCCCGGGAAGGATAACTGAATCCCTCCAGTGGAATTATAACCCCCCAGGAAGGACATCTGAATCCCTCCAGTGGAATGTAATTCACCCTGCGTAAAGTTTTAAATTGTAATAAGCGTTTTTTTAAACCCCTCCAGTGAAAATAAAATCCCTACGGCGGTCTCCAGTAGAATCTTACTACGAATTTCTTTGAGTCTAGCTGTGATGGAGTTAAGTGATAAATTTATAAAGTTAAAAAGTTAGTTTTTCAAGCAAAGGAATAATTTTTAGACTCTATAAGGTATAGTAACCACCCAAAAATGTAGTCTTTTTGGTGTATTTTTATGGTGAACAAAACAAGTCCAGGTGGGAGGGGGGGGGGCAAAAAAATTTAAAAAGGTATCAATATTTTTTCAAAAAAGGTGTTTTTATAAGGGGGGGCACTATGTTGCCAAGGGGGGGGACCCAAAAATTTTTTTCCCGCGCTTACGCGCGCACATTGTGCCCCCCTAAGCAAAAGCCCTCGTACGCCCCTGATCGTCCCCAATTCCTTGTTTCTTCTTTGGTAATTTAATCTTATTTACTAAATATTTTCTCTAAGTCTGAGGTTACTGTGTACGTTTAAGGTACGAACTGTATAACCTCAGCTATTTTAAGCAGAATACACCTGTACTCTGTCTGCAACGTCTGCGGTCTATTATTATTACTCCTTCTGTCATCGCATTGTGCTATTATTATTAATTACTAAAAGTAGAACGCTGATTTTTTTAGAAACTGAAATTTAAATGCAAAACATCTTTGCAAAGTACATTTTTTGTTTTAATTAAGAGTTTGAAAAATGGGGAAAAAAGACGTGATTTATACAAGTTTAGATGGTGCTACAGGTAATATAAAAAATTGGGGTAATTTCCTAGAGAACGATTTTAGATCCCCCCCCCCTCCTATCAATTTTTTACTAGGATTTTACCTGATTTTGTATTTATAAGGTGAATCTGGAATACAAGTTGTCTCCAAAAGAAAACTAATACAAACCACTGAAACCACGGCTTTTCTAAAAGGTAGATTCAGTGAGAACCAGGAAACTCAGGATTAGGATTACAACTTTCAGACTTAGTTTATGAATTTAAATAGTCCAATATACGTGATACACAGAAATTGTGCGGTGGAAACAGACCCATTTCACTTGATTTTTAGACTATTGGTTAATAATAGATTGATTTGTAATAACATCAAATTGGCTTAATTTATGCTTTGTTGTCGTCTTCCTATTCCATAGATTTCTGGTTCTCATTGTTCTAAAATAGTATTTGTTAAATGTTTTAAAAAGTTCAGATCACACAAAAATCGAGCAGTATTTTATCAATTACTCCTATTAAAAAAAGGCTAAAAACAATCGCTTTGCAGTTTTAAAATGCATATGTTTAGGGCTACAAAAAATATAATGGAGTTGGCCTGAGGTAAAACGAAAGGCCAAGGTGTTTCGACTCTTAAAAGTCGAGGCTGACTTATTTACTTTCAGAGTTGTCTAGATTTCAGTGAAATGTAATGAACAAAATGTCAAACTTTAAAGTAACACAAAAAAAATCTGATGATGCTAAATTTCAGTTATTTTATTCTTTTATTTAAATTTCATGAAAATTTATCAATCAATAAAATTAAAAAATAACGAGAATTCCAAGAAAAAAAATTATAGTTTCTGCTAATTTGCAACTAATCCGTATTTTCGAAATAACAAAATCTTCTTGTAATAGATAATATCATTTATAAGAAAACTAAGAAAGATAATTTTAAACTTTTTTTTAGAAAAATTTTCTCGGCTTGAAGCTCAAAGACTAGAAAAGGAAGGCAAATTATCGGAAGTGAACAAAAAGCTAGAAGAGAAGAAAAATAAGCAAATTCTTGTTATTACTCACTTCAATGTGTTTATGTATGCTGCCTGCTTTTTCATGCAGTCTGGTACACTTCCTGTAAGTATTACTATTTTTGATTTATATATTTTACAAATTATAAATACATTTTTTTAGTATCTTACAAAAAAGTTGGGAGCTGACCCAGTTACATTCGGAACTCTTCAAACTGCCTTTTCAGGTCATTATGATAAATACAGTAAGAAAATGTTAAATTGTGCATTAGAAAGACAACTGTAAGACTCAATTTTGTTTCTTAATATTAATTGTAACATGTACTTGTGCAGTGTAAGTAGGCCTATATTTCAATTTTCAAAATTTTGGAGAAATATTCCCACAAACTTCAGTTTCGTAGGTTTTTGAATATTTCCTCTTCACACACTTAATTTTATATTTTTTGTTATCTTTCATAAATAAATCATTCCCTTACTAACTTATTAATTTTACTTCAAACTTCTTGTTAAAATATTTGCTTCATAACAAAACCAAACATACATATTTGATTGTTTAAATGTAGTCTACCTTTTCTACAGTTTTATGGGTCTCAATTTGCTTCTAGATATTTTTGACAGTTTTAACTTAAATATATTTTATTTTGTAGTTGTGGATTTTAACTTTATCAAAGATTTCATATATCTTTAAAAAATGTTTCGCAAAATTTCCTGAAATGTAAATTTTCAAAATTTCCGAAACAAATTTTAGAAAGAACGTAAAATTTGTCAGCAAAGTTTCTAATCCCACTTTAAAGTTTCACTTTAATATTTTGAAATGATCCACTTTTATTTCTTAAAGCGATATCTTAAACAAAAGTTTCTACCTCTGGGACCATATTTAACGAATAGAGAGAAGTAGTTGAACCTTGTGGAATGTAGGTGTAGCTGAACCACCCCTCTTAAACTTCCATGCATGAGAGGAGGGGTTCAACTGCTTCTTGTTTTTGATAAACTCCGGTTCTATAATTAGTAAAATATTGTTGTAGTTTGTCAGCTGTTGGGTGGACAATATATCTAAATATTGCTGTAGTTTGTCAGCTGTTGGGTGGACAATATATCTAAATATTGTTGCAGTTTGTCAGCTGTTGGGTGGACAAAATATCTGAATATTGTTGCAGTTTGTCAGCTGTTGGGTGGACAATATATCTAAATATTGTTGTAGTTTGTCAGCTGTTTGGTGGACAATATATCTAAATATTGTTGTAGTTTGTCAGCTGTTGGGTGGACAATATGTCTGAATATTGTTGCAGTTTGTCAGCTGTTGGGTGGACAATATATCTAAATATTGTTGCAGTTTGTCAGCTGTTGGGTGGACCATATATGTAAATATTGTTTTAGTTTGTCCGCTGTTGAGTGGGCCATATATATCATATATATGAATATTGTTGTAGTTTGTCAGCTGTTGGGTGGACATTATATCTAAATATTGTTGCAGTTTGTCAGCTGTTGGGTGGACAATATATCTAAATATTGTTGTAGTTTGTCAGCTGTTGGGTGGACAATATATCTAAATATTGTCGTAGTTGGTCAGCTGTTGTGGTGACCATTTATCTAAATAGAGTTGTAGTTTTTTAGCTTTTGGGTGGACCATATATCTTAACAGTGTTGTAGTTTGTCAGCTGTTGGGTGGACCATAAATCAACATATTGTTGTAGTTTGTCAGGTGTTGGGTGGACCATATATCTAAAAAGTGTTGAAGTTTTTTGGCTGTTGGATGGACTATATATTTAAATATTGTTTTAGTTGTCAGCTCTTGGATGGACCATATATCTAAATATTGTTGTAGTTTGTCAGCTATTCAGCTGTTGTGTGGACCATATATCTAAATAGAGTTGTAGTTTTTCAGTTTTGGGTATACCATATATCTTAACAGTGTTTTAGTTTGTCAGCTGTTGGGTGGACCATATATTTTGATATTGTTGTAGTTTGTCAGCTCTTGGGTGGACCATATATAGAAATATTGTTGCAGTTTGTCAGCTGTTGGGTGGACTCTATATCTAAATAGTGTTGTAGTTTGTTAGCTTTTGGGTGGACTATATATCTGAATATTGTTGTAGTTTGTCAGCTGTTGGGTGGGTGGATCATATATATAAATATTGTTGTAGTTTGTCAGCTGTTGGGTGGACCTATCTATGGTAGAATAGGAGATGTGATGGGAGAAAGGTTTGCAATAATTCTCGCCTTCTCATCAACTACACTAACATATCTAGTCACAGGTAGGGTTGGGCGCCGTTTTTAATAAACGAATAAAAAAAAATATTGTTACTGATCGTCAAAATATCAAAAACGACCTTCCTTCCTTCACAAAGCGACATAACAAAAATCAAAAACAATTATTTTGTATTTCAATTTAAAAAATTTAAAAATTTTGAAACGATCGTTTTGATTTGGTTTTTTACGTTGTTAACGAAACGATCAGTATGGTTTTCAGAAAAGGGAAAACGTCTTATCCTTGTTCAATAGTATGCCTTCACCTGGAAAAAATCTGGAATTAACGGTTGATTCATATTTGATATATACTTCTTCCCTTTAATATTTTAGAGAAATGAAATGATTTTATCTCTTATCGAAGTTTCGGAAAAATATGATCTTTTAGTATTATTTTGTTCAATGTTGGTATATTTCAAGTTATTTTAGGCTTATTTTACAATATATTAAACCTATTTTACGATATTTTAGGGTTATTTTCCAATATTTTAGGCTTATATTATAATATTTTAGGGTTATTTACAACATGTTGGACTTATTATACAATATTTCAGGGTTATTTTTATTATATTTTAGGGTTGATTTACTATATTCTAGGATTATTTTTTATTATATTTTTGGGTTATTTTACAATATTTTAGGGTTATTTTACTATATTTTAGAGTTATTTAACAATATTTTAGAGTTATTTTACAATATTTTAGGGTCATTTTACAATAATTTAGGGTAATTTCACAATATATTAGGGTTATCATAAAATATTTTAGGTTTATTTTCAATATTTCAGGGGTATATTACAATATTTTAGGGCTATTTTACAATATTTCATAAAACATTTTAGGATTATTTTACATTATTTCAGGGGTATTTTACAACATTTCAGGGGTATTTTACATTATTTCAGGGGTATTTTACAACATTTCAGGGGTATTTTACAATATTTCAGGGGTATTTTACAATATATTAGGGTTATTTTACAATATTTAATGATCTTTTTTCAGGGTTATCTTACAATATCCCAACATTATTCTTGTCAAGAATTTTCTCAGTTTTAATGCACGTGATGCAAGGTAATCTCAGAAATTATCTCCTAATATCTAACAAACTTTAAACAATGGGAAGCTGTTAATTTACAGCTTCTCTTTTTCTCGATGTTTCTAGTGAATTCATGCTGATTAAAATCAAAATTGAAATCCAATGTTGTCTTCATTGTACTGATGAAAAAGAAAAAAAAGGAAACACTAGATATTCAAATTTGAAAAGTTAATTGTTTTTCAGGAAGTCAAATGGTTGCAACAAGTCTTTCTACAGCAGAAAACAGAGCTGGATCATTAGGCAACTAAAGATTGAAAATAAAAACAGTTTTATTCAATCAAATCTAGAATACCTACAAATATGTCTTTCCATAGCTTATTTTCATAATTACCATAGTTGAAGCCCATATAAACTACTAATAACTATTTACTCTACTAAAAAAGAACATATTAGCTCAGAACTGCAAGAGAATGAGTAAAAGGGGCTGTAAGCGTAATTTCAAGTGACCTTCCATTAATAGAGTAATATATATAATTTACAACGGTGCCCTTTAAACCATTGTCTGATCAAGAATTTCGTGATTTCTAATTTATAAAGCGGGGAATTAAGAAACCGCGCGAGTGTACATTAGCACGCATTGTGCATTGTACACTCTCCTTGCACTCAATCTTCAGCTGTACAAATGAGATTATCTACCTCATCATTGTACATTGTACACTCTCCTTGCACTCAATCTTATAATTTCTAATTTATAAAGCGGGGAATTAAGAAACCGCGCGAGTGTACATTAGCACGCATTGTACATTGTACACTTGTCTCCTTGCACTCAATCTTCAGCTGTACAAATGAGATTATCTACCTCATCATTGTCTGGACAAAGGTTTAAAGAGTACCTTTGTTAATTGGACATGCTTTTCTACAAATGGACGGTCAGATGAAATTACGCTCACAGTCCCTTGAAGCTTATTCTTTGCTTGGAAATGGACCGATCTCTCATTTGGTCGAAACTTATAGAATCAAATTTGAAATTTTTAGATTTTAGCCCAGCTGGGGTTCTCATATGGATTGGGTATGGTGGTAGGACCCAGCCTTGGGGGTCTCTGCACAACTAACTTTGGTAAATTAAACTATTAGACTATTGTACACTGTAAATTTTTCATGGTGTTCAGTGTACACTGTACATTTTACATGGTGTACAGTGTACACTGTACATTTTACATGGTGTACAGTGTACACTGTACATTTTACATGGTGTACAGTGATACACTGTACATTTTACATGGTGTACATTTTTTAAGTACTCTAGAGATCCATTAAATTTTATGCCAATCCGGATTAATGTTATGAATGCTTTTTTAAGTTTTGCTATTTTTTATTAAAGCAAATTTTTCAGAAACTTAATTTTTCATTTAATTTTGAGCCGCCACTGGTAAAAGATTGGCGATATAAAAACGTTAGATAAACATAAGATTGCTTAAATGTCGTCCTCCCAATCCACAGGTTTACAGGTCCCGACTCTCGATGTGAAAATACAAAGTTAACTGGCAAAATCGTTAACAGGCAAAATTGTCAAGTATCAAATTGGCAACTGGGAAATTGTCAACTGGCAAAATTGGCAAATGGGAAATTGTCAACTGGCAAAATTGTCAACTAATAAAATTGTCAACTCGCAAATTGGTAAATGGAAAATTGTCAACTGGCAAAATTGTCAACTGATAAAATTGTCAACTGGCAAATTGGCAGCTGGGAAATTGTCAACTGGCAAAATTGGCAACTGGGAAATTGTCAACTGGCAAAATTTTCATCTAGCAAATTGTCAACTGGCTAAAAGGTCAACTGGCAAATTGTCAGCTGGGAAAAAAGTCAAGTGACAAATCACAAAATGGTCAACTGGCAAATTGTCACATGACATTTATGCTGTACACTTTAGTGTCAACTGGCAAAGTGTTGCCTGGCAACTTTGTCACTTGTTACATGTCAAAAGACCCGCCTGGCAAGTTGATACATGGCAATCTTACACTGGCAATCCGCCGCTGGCAAAGTACTTAACATCGTATTTTTAGGAGAACAATCCTCAGCTCTTCTCTCAGCCCTGGGTTCTCTCTTCAGCCTTATCCTTGTTATAATATTTGTTCCACAGATAAATAAACAAACTAAACCTAAGGAGTCAAACCTTCTCCACTTAAAAAAGGTAGTTTTTCCATGTTCAGGAATTTTCCTAAGAAGGGAAAAATAATGTTAATAAATGTTTCCTTTTTCCCATTATTAACATTAAAAAGTCAAAAAAAAAAGTTGAAGATTAAGAAAAATATTTAGAAAAAAAGCTAATACATGTGAAAATGTTTATTTTGAATATCAATTGATATTTTTAGTATGTCTCACCAGTCCGTGAAAGTATTTCAAATATTTCAAATAACCTGAAAAATATGCTGGGACCTCTAATACAGGGTTACCTACAAAGGATAAGACTTGAACGACAAACTAAAACGCTTTTAATAAAAAATTCTGAGGGTTATATTCAGGGAGTTAGAATAAAGGGAAGGGAAATGGCGCTGGTCTAGCATAAAGCCAGTCGCACTGCTTTGCAGACGAGTCTTTATCACACACGTACACTCTTTTGGTACAGACTCAAAACGTGGCTACAGTCAAGGAAATTGCAGAACAATGTCTTCAATTATAATTAAGCTTGAATAACGAGTAGTTTATTGTAAACTTTAATCCAATTAAATTCTTTGCATGAAAATTTGCCTCACAGCGTTGACTTTAATATATAGATAATATATTACATATATATTAAACTTATTTTTAAGTAAACAATTAACAATAAACAAATGTACTCTCTTAGGCTGTACAAATACCGAGATTCTTATGTTCTGTGTATACCGACCTTCGGTTAATTATTACTTACACACACCCTTTTGGTACAGACACACATACATGTCGTTTCCGACCCTGGTTATATTTGGGGTTCTGTCTCAAAATATAGTCGTTAAATGCAAATAGATTGTCAAGTACAATTGATATCACTGCATAATTTGTATACTCTCAGTACAGCTGTATTCTTACGTCACAAGTGTCAACTCTGTATTTGTGTCCGACTTAAAAAAAAATAATAATAGTGATCATTTTAGAATAAGTGTATATCTTACATTGAAATAAGTGAAAGTTTGTGTGTTCTTTATTTTTTGTCTTTACACTTTTTTTATTTAATCTTGGAAAACATGTGAACTTATGTAAGAAAATTTTATTTTCCTTGTTAAATTTAACACTAGTGACGTCGTGTATAATTGGTCCATTTCTCGAAACCTATTGTACTTCTTATTCTTTTTGGTTAAATGGAACTTTAATGATTTGGCGAAGAATGAAATAAGTTTATAGTTGCCAATGAATTTAAAGAACAAGACTGAAAAGATTACGTACAGTCATCTTTGAAGTCAGGACATTTTATAGACAGGACATTTTATATACAGGATATTTTTTTGACAGGACATTTTATAGACAGGATATTTTTTAGACAGGATATTTTATAGACAGGATATTTTATAGACAGGATATTTGATAGACAGGACATATTATAGACAGGATATTTTATAGACAGGATATTTTATAGACAGGACATATTATAGACAGGATATTTTATAGACAGGATATTTTTTAGACAGGACATTTTATAGACAGGATATTTTATAGACAGGATATTTTATAGACAGGACATATTATAGACAGGATATTTTATAGACAGGACATTTTATAGACAGGATATTTTATAGACAGAACCTTTATGGACAGGACATTTAAAGACAGGACATTTTAAAGACAGGACATTTTACAGACAGGACATTTAATAGACAGGATATTTTATAGGCATAATATTTGATAGACATAATATTTGATAGACAGATATTTTATGGAAATGATATTTAAAGACAGTACATTTTATAGACAGGATATTTGATAGACAGGATATTTTATAGACAGGATATTTTATAGACATGATATTTGATAGGCATGATATTTAATAGACAGTTAAATTATATACAGGATATTTTATAGACAGGATATTTTATATACAGGATATTTTATAGACAGGATATTTTATAGACAGGATATTTTATAGACAGTATATTTATAGACAAGATATTTTATAGGCAGGATATTTTATATTCAGGACATTTTATAGACAGGATATTTAAAGAGAGGATATTTTACACACAGGAAATTTTATAGACAGTATATTTTATAGACAGGATATTTTATAGACAGCACATTTTATTGACAGTATATTTTATAGACAGGACATTTTATAGACAGGACATTTTATAGACAGGACATTTTATAGACAGGATATTTAAAGACAGGACATTTTACAGACAGGACATTTTAGAGACAGGAAATTTTAAAGATAATACATTTCATGACTGAATCATGTAATAAGTAGGATATTTTATAAACGGGATATTTGATTGACAGGATATTTTGTAAATAGGATTTTTATAGACAGGATATTTTATAGACATGATATTTGATAGGCATGATATTTAATAGACAGTTAAATTATAGACAGGATATTTTATAGACAGGACATTTTACAGACTGTCATTATGTCTTTTTGCCTTTATCTATGAAATGTTGAAATGTCCTTTCTATAAAATATCTTTATCTATAACAATAATTAAGATTAAGCCGAAAAATATAGATTAATTGTTTTCTTTAACTATTTAGATGTCAGGTTTAATCGTAAAACCTGAAGTCCGGGGTTTACTTCTTATAAAAACAATCTGTGGTATTCCTATTGGAATCCTCCAATCCATGTTTGCAGGTGAGATCATAATCTTTCAAATCAAATATAATTAATCATATATATTCTATCAAATCAATAAAATATAATCCATCAAATATATTTTATCAAATCAATCAAATATAATCAATTATCAAATCAATCAAATATAATCAGTCATCAAATCAATCGAATATAATCAATCATAAAATCAATCAAATCAATCAAATTAATCACAACTTATCAACCAAATCTTATCACCAAATCAAATATAATCAATCAATTAAATGTAAAAAAATTAAATAAATTTCAAATCAATCAAATCTAATTCAATGTAATCAATCAAATTAAATCAATCAAATCTAATCAATCAAACAATTCTAATCAAATCAATCGAATCTAATCAAATTAATAGAATTTATTCAAATCGCTCAAATATAATCATACAACTAATCAATCAATCAGATTCAACTAAAATAATCCAATCTAATCAATAAAATCCAATCTAATCAATCAATCCAATCTAATCAATCAATCTAATCAATCAATTCAATCTAATCAATCAATTCAATCTAATCTATTAATCCAATCTAATCAATCAATCCAATCTAATCAATCAATCCAATCTAATCAATCAATTCAATCTAATCAATCCAATCTAGTCAATCAATTCAATATAATCAATCCAATCTAATCAATCACTCCAATCCAATCAATCCAATCTAATCAATCAATCCAATCTAATCAATCAATCCAATCTAATCAATCAATCCAATCTAATCAATCAATCCAATCTAATCAATTAATCCAATCTAATCAATCAATCCTATCTAATCACTCTATCCAATCTAATCAATACAATCTAATCAATCAATTCCATCTAATCAATCAATCCAATCTAATCAATCAATCCAATCTAATCAATCAATCAATCTAATCAATCAATCCAATCTAATCAATCAATCCAATCTAATCAATCAATCAAATCCAATCTAATCAATACAATCTGATCAATCAATTCCATCTAATCAATCAATTCCATCTAATCAATCAATCAATCAGATCTAATCAATCAATCCAATATAATCAATCAATCCAATCTAATCATCAATCCTTTCTATCAATTAAATCTAAAAAAATTAGTTAAATTCATTTAAATCTAATCAAATCAATGAAATCATTCAATCTAATCAAATGAATCAAATGAGTCAAATTTCCAATTTCAAATTTTTCCGCAAATACTATTTTTTTCTCCATAAAATCATTTTTTTTCAAAGAGTAAATATTTAACGCTACTTGCTGAAACTTGAAAAAAATATATATTTGGGGGCATATAAACTGCTCCAACTGGTTCATAAAGAAATGAATTATTTTCTATAAAAATGTATAAGAAATATAAAAATAAATTTATTTTAGTTGTTGCAATGGAACAGTTTGGACTGCCTGCAGATCAGAATGGTTTCCTAATGTCCTATATAGGAAATACAATTAATGATCAACATGCAAATATATTAATTTTATTACCCACTATACTAAGATGAAACTTTAGAAAAATATTCTACAGAATCTTACTTTGAAATAGTTACATGTGGCTTTAAATGGTTTATTTTCTGTCCCAATTTATTAAACAAATCTTTACAAGACCGAACTTAAGTTCACAAACAAACCTACAGATCTTCAAAATTTAATACATTTGGTACAAGGACTGCTTTCTCTTTTGAACCACTCTTTTTTTCTAAAACTTTTTTTGAATTTGGCTTTTCAAATTTTTTTAATTACTTTTTACGTATCAATCGTGGACATTTTCTATTTTCCAAACACAAATTTTAACTAATTAAAATTAACTAAAAAAGAAAAAAATAAGTGAAAATATGTTTTTAATAAATTGTTTTGATCCGGATCCTTTTTTACAGGTACTGATCCTGAGCGCAGTTTTCTTTTTTTTTTTTGAAAAAAAATTGTATTTTGTTCAGGTGTGTTGACCCTGATCATGCAGGGGGCGGGAGTAGCCCTCATTTCGTCAAGAATATCAGATTTAAATATTGTAAAAGTATCCGCAGTTACTTTAGCCCTGTCTTATCTAGCTCTGGTAAATATAGGGTTAGAGGGACCATTCACTATTTAGAAAATTTAACGGGACTGTTTACGATTTTTGGGATATTAATAGGACTGTTCACCATCTTGGGATATTAATGGGACTGTTTACTATTTTTGGGATATTAATTGAACTGTTCACCATCTTGGGATATTTATGGGACTGTTCACCATCTTGGGATATTAGTGGGACTGTTCACCATCTTGGGATATTTATGGGACTGTTAACCATCTTATGATATTAATGGGACTGTTCACCATCTTGGGATATTTATGGGACTGTTCACCATCTTGTGATATTAATGGGACTGTTCACCATCTTGGGATATTTATGGGACTGTTCACTATCTTGGGATATTAATGGGACTGTTAACCATCTTGGGATATTAATGGGACTGTTCACCATCTTGGGATATTAATGGGACTGTTCACTATCTTGGGATAATATTGGGATTGTTTACTATTTTTGGGGTATTAAATGGACTGTTTACCATCTTGGGATATTAATGGGACTGTTTACCATCTTGGGATATTAATGGGACTGTTCACTATCTTGGGATATTAATGGGACTGTTCACCATCTTGGGATATTAATGGGACTGTTCACCATTTTGGGATATTAATGGGACTGTTCACCATCTTGGAATATTAATGGGACTGTTCACTATCTTGGGATATTAACAGGACTGTTCACCATCCTGGGATATTAATGGGACTGTTCACTATCTTAAGATATTAAAGGGAATATTCAACATCCTAAGATATTAAAGGGAATGTTCAACATCTTAAGATATTAAAGGGAATGTTCAATATCTTGGGATATTAATGGGAATGTTCAACATCTTAAGATATTAAAGGGAATGGGACTGTTCACCATCTTGGGATATTATTGGGACTGTTCACCATCTTGGGATATTTATGGGACTGTTCACTATCTTGGGATATTAATGGGAATGTTCAACATCTTAAGATATTAAAGGGACCTTACAATATAAGGATATTAGAAGAACCTTCTCATTGCTTATTACAAGATTATTATTCATAAATGTTTGAAAATCAATTCCCTAAAGCCAGGGCCTACTCTTAAATACAGAATGAGAATTACGTGTTTGAAAGCCATTGTTTAGAGTTTGTTGCGCGGTTTAATAGACTTTCTCATTCTTCTCGCTCCACTGGTCTTCTCTCTTTCTCTAATAAACTCAGGTATTATAAGGGTCGGCAATTTTATCAATACAATGAAGACTACTTTTTATTAATAATGCTTTGATCCCTAGCAAACATTTTTCAAATTACAATTTTTAAATGTTCATGTGTTTCTATTGTTTGAAAGCCTGGTAGAAATCAAATGAAATAGAAAGTCGTCTTTATTGTATTGATATGTACGACGACGACTTTTAAAACTATAAAACTGCAAAAAAGCCATAGATAAAGTTTAAATGTTTTTTGTTCATAAAATTAAATCAAATAAAAGCGGGTTTAATAAGTATTTATATATATTCAGTTATCTCCTCTACTCTAACTAAAGTTGTATCTACAGAGATACAGGGGTTTAAAGTATATATATTCAGTTATCTCCTCTACACTAACTAAAGTTGTATCTACTGAAGATACAGGGGCTTAAAGTATACATATTCAGTTATCTCCTCTACTCTAACTAAAGCTGTATTTTCTGAAGATACAGGGGCTTAAAGTATATATATTCAGTTATCTCTTCTACTCTAACTAAAGCTGTATCTACTGAAGATACAGGGGCTTAAAGTATATATATTCAGTTATCTCCTCTACTCTAACTAAAGTTTTATCTACTGGAGATACAGGGGTTTAAAGTATATATGTTCAGTTATCTCCTCTACTCTTAACTAAAGTTGTATATACAGAGATACAGAGGTTTAAAGTATATATATTCAGTTATCTCCTCTACTCTAACTAAAGTTGTATCTACTGAAGATACAGGGGCTTAAAGTATACATATTCAGCTATCTCCTCTACTCTTAACTAAAGTTGTATCTACAGAGATACAGAGGTTTAAAGTATATATATTCAGTTATCTCCTCTACTCTAACTAAAGTTGTATCTACAGAGATACAGGGGTTTAAAGTATACATATTCAGTTATCTCCTCTACTAATGTATATTCAGTTATCTCCTCTACTCTAACTAAAGTTGTATCTACTGGAGATACAGGGACTATGCTGGGGATCAATATGGCGGTAAGTTGAACCCCTTATGTTTATTTTTAACTTTATTATAACATTTAACATCATCCCCCGAGTTAATATCACGAAACAAAAATATTTCAAATTTCTCTTTGTTTATTTTTTTCTTATTAATATAAAGAAAAGCTGGAACTGTATTGATATAAACGCGTACATCGTTGTCTTAATATAAACGCTTACATCATCTATATATAAATTTAATATTTATAATAATTTTATTCGGAATTTGTGCAAAAAAAATGCGGATATTATGTTATTTTTTGTTAACTAAACAATCATATTCAGAACCACAATCCTTCTTATCAGTTCTGATCTTCCCATTTTTATTGAACTTAATCTTATTTTAGGTAAATTCAGTGATTCGATCGCTAGCTCCCACAATAGGGGGATGGATGATAGCGCAGTATGGATTTGCGTCTATCGGTCAGCTTGGTTTTGTTTGTAACCTTCTAGTACTGGTCATAGCGTCGACATGGGTCAACCTGTAGCTGAAATTCTGAAGGCCATTAAGACAACCTCTCAATTTTTTTTGAAATGTTTAAAATGATTTAACTTTACATTCATATTTCTTAAGATGTTGCTAACAGTTCTAAATGACTTTCAAACTTTTATTATGTATTAAGACAAAAAGACATGAAAAAAGGGGTCTTATTATTTTTTTCTCTTAAAAATAAAGAATTTGAATAGCACAACTTTTGAAGAAAAAAAACGTATGAAATATGTAACTTCTTATCCTTGTTTAATGTTTATTTAACAACGTTATTTATGTTAGGATGTGCTCGTGGCTGCCGCTAATTTTCTTTCATTTTAATTCACAAAATAAAGTTGAAATACAAGCCAACTTTTAGAGCACAACATTCTGATGTAGACCAACGTTTTCAGAATGGTATGAAGCCTCGTCTTAAATGCCAAAAACCCGATTTAAAGCATATAATTTCTTTGATAATGTCCTTATGCTTTTGTTTTAAAGCATATCTTTTCTTTCATTTTTGAGTCATTTTCATCAAGATTTTTATAAAATCCAAAGTTAAATAAATCTAAAATTCAATAAGTTATTAATGTTTGTCCTGCACTTTATATTTTTTCGTGAATATTTTGTTAAACATTAAGCGTTGTCATAAATTTATTAGCAAATGTATTTAAACAATATAAAAGTTACATAAAAATATAAATTATGGGAGTAAAGTGGTGCGAAGAGATTATAGATGAAGCTCAATAAAAATAATTGACATTTGAGTATTAAAGTTAAAACATGTTAGTACGGAATTATTTACAGCGATTTTCAGAAAAAAAAAATTAATATTAATTTCAATTTTGACGTGTTGGTCAAAAATCAAAATGAAGGGTTTTATAATTTCTTAGGTTCTTTTTAATTATTTTTAAATGTTACAGAAATAACACTTTTTAGGACTCTCTTGGTCACTATTTATCTTTATTAATGAGTAAAAATTAAAAAGAATAAATACCAAGAACTATAAGTTTTTAAAATTTCAAAAAATGTTTGTTTTCTGACAATAATATAAAATTGTAAAGTGATGGTTGTGTGTTCCTTAGTTCAGTTCTTAAATAGCATTACATTATATTCTGAATTTACTAGAAAAAAATGTGAATAAGAATTTAAACACCGACAATAAACATTTCAACAAGAAGTTAATTCTAAATATTCTTTTTAAATAAGCTAAGTCATGGGTTTACAGTATTATAAGACTTATTTAAAAAAGTAAATTTTTTTTCTTAATTACAGAAAAAAGATAAATATTGGATTACATAATTTTTCTGGTATAAAAGTATACTTTTGCACAATTTATCCAAATATTTTCTACCTTACATGTTAACAATTAAAGGAATGTGTTGTATAAAAACAAATAATTGTTTTAGACAAAAATGTGTTAAAGCTCAGTCACACTTAAGATTTCCAGCTAACGAAAACATGTGCGAAATTTCGCGAAAATTTTCTTTCATATTGGCAAACTTTTTTGCAAAAATGAATTTTTCGGAATTTTTTGGAAAGAAAAACAGCAAAATATCCGACAATTTCGCGAAAGAAAAAGTGCAAAAATTTCGCTATTATCTGTTTCGCGAAAAATTTCGTTCTCATTATTTGTTTTTATAGCGAAACAAATTAATTTTCGCATTTTTCTTAAAAACTGAATGTAAAAAAAATGCGAAATTTTTAGCGAAATAAAAGATTTCCCCATTGAACTAGTATTCCTAGTCACACTTCTATCTCTTCTAACTTTCCTCCACATCTATAAATTTCTGGCCGAGAATATGCGCGATTCGATTGAGATCATTCAAAGCAGTGTGCAACCTAGAAAATTAAATTATTTTAATCCTTTAAATCATTAAAGGGGATATTAACGTAATTTGAAGTGACTTTCCATATAAAGAATGCCAATTGCGATTTACAACGGTACCTCTACAGCTTTGCCTGACCAAGTAAAAATCAGATATCCATGTTTATAATTCTAAGTAGTGCTTAGGATCTATTTAAGTTTGATGCGGATCCGGATCTGGATCCTGGATCCGCACTGGAAAAAAATGGATCCGGATCCGGGTAATTTCTTTAAGATTTACTGAATTTTTTAACAAAAAATAATTTACAAATTTTTTTAACAAAAAATAATTTTCGAATTTTTTGTTTTATTTTTGTTTTATCCTAAAACTTGATGAACCATTCAGAAATGAGGAAATTTTTATTATCTCTTTTTTTTCAAAAGTTCAGATTTGGGTTTAAGGTGTAAAAAAGTTTTATTTTACACCTTGGATTCGGATACGTGGATCCACATATTTTTGCGGATCCAACGGATCCGGATCCTAAGCACTGATTCTAAGAATTGATTATTGTGTTTTTGGTTTCTCCACAAAAGTGGCTTTCGAATTTCTACTAAAGGAATTTTTGAATTTCTACTAAAGAAATTTTCGAATTTTTACCAAAGGAATTTTTGAATTTCTACTGAAGGAATTTTCGAATTTCTACTATAGGAATTTTCGAATTTCTACTAAAGGATTTTTTTAATTTCTACTAAAGGAATTTTCGAATTTCTACCAAAGGAATTTTCGAATTTCTACTAAAGGAATTTTCGAATTTCTACTAAAGGAATTTTCGAATTTCTACTGAAAGAATTTTCGAATTTCTACTAAAGGAATTTTTTTAATTTCTACTAAAGGAATTTTCGAATTTCTACCAAAGGAATTTTCGAATTTCTACTAAAGGAATTTTCGAATTTCTACTAAAGGAATTTTCGAATTTCTACTGAAAGAATTTTCGAATTTCTACTAAAGGAATATTCGAATTTCTACTTTAGGGATTTAGGAAAACCTCGAATGATTTTCAGAATTAAACACTTATTAAGAAAAACCACATTATTTATATTTTACATTCTTAATCAGATAAAGGTTTTCAGAGTACCAACGTACAACCCTCTTTAGATATAAGATCACTTGAAATGACGCTTACAGACAATCCCTGTAAAAATTTAATGTGTTAAAATTTGAATTTTTTGTACAAGAAGTTTTTTGAAAATTTCTTGCGAAGTTTGATAATTGTTTTGTTTCATTTCCGCGATAAAATATTTAATTTAAAGTGTGTTATTATTTTCAAAATATCTGAAAATTTCCTCGTTAAAAAAATCATACAAAAGAAAAAAGAATTGTTTTTATTAGATATACCTCGCTGCTATGGAGCATGCTCCCAGAACCCCCTCTGAAGCAACAAGGCTTTCAAAAAGTGAAAATAAAAAATATTTTCTTGTACTTTCCACGTCCTCCTTATTCTTCACATCAACACAATCCTAAGCAAAAAATATTAAGAACATTTTTAAATAAAATGAAAATAAAAATGTCTGTGCCCGGACTTTAACGAAAAGAAATTTGAAAGACAACTTAAAAATCTTCTTTTTTTGTGCAGAGAGGTGTTTAATAAGATAATATTTAAAATATTTAATTATTACTTTTAATGGTATTTAGCAGAGTATGCTCGTATTTACGGTTGTAGGCGATTATACCAATATAATGAAGACGACTTTTTTATTTAAGTTTTAATTATTTACAAGCTTTTTTCGAATTACAAGTTAAGAAGTAATTAAAGAGAAGCTTTTTAATTGACAGATTCTGTTCGTTTCCATGTTTTTAAACATTCATGCTGTTTAAAGATGGATATTAATCAAAATTTAAATCGACAGTCGTCTTCATTATATTGATATAATCGCCTACCACCGAGGTTAAAATTATAAAAAGAAAAAAGAAAAACTTAGATTTTTTAAAACTAATAACTTTTTCCAATGTTTAAGTTACCTGATTGAAAACCACAACAAGAAGAAGAAGATAAAGGGAAGGACGTGGAAGCCCAATTTGAGAAAAATAATCAAAAAAATTGAAAAGTTTTGTCAAATCATCTGTTAGGTCCGTATCAACCTAAATTCATTGAAACTATAATACGATTTTATACTGAATTTAGCAAGCTTAGAATATTGATTAAAATTTGACCTTTTTCTCTTTTAATACTTTTTTGTTGCTGGATGCGTTTTAAATGAAAAAGTACATGACGAAAATATTGTTGATTTAAAGATTGTCGAAATATAAGCAAAAACGTGATTTATCTTTATTCAGAGTGTTTAAATTCCACGGGCAACGCCGGGCATTTCAGCTAAAATAAATGTGGAGAAACAATTCCGGGAATAAAAAATGCGACGATCCAAAAGAATTTCGGAAACAAGGTCATTTTGCTCAAGATTTCGTGATTACAAATATAATTCTAGGAATATCAAAATATGTGAGAGATCCCCGGCTTTGTTGCTGGATGCGTTTTAAATGAAAAAGTACATGACGAAAATATTGTTGATTTAAAGATTGTCGAAATATAAGCAAAAACGTGATTTATGTTTATTCAGAGTGTTTAAATTCCACGGGCAACGCCGGGCATTTCAGCTAAAATAAATGTGGAGAAACAATTCCGGGAATAAAAAATGCGACGGGCAATTTCCTGAAAAAAAAACTATTTTCGGAACCAACTGTGTGATTATGACGAAATGTGAATTGTTTACAGTGACAACCATAAAACAATGGAATGGGAAGACGACATTACAGCAGTTCTTAATTGTATTTGATGTTCTTACAAATCAAATAGTTTTACCACACACTAATTTAGTTAAATGGGTCTGTTTCCACAGCAAAATTGCTGTGTCTCATACTCATTGGACTTTTTAAATTTGCAACTTTATTCTAAAAGTCGTCTTCCTATTTCAGAGTTTTTTGGCTGTATCCGGATATTGTCACTTCGGAGTTCGTATCTCCGCAATTTCTCTTTCCGGAAAGTGTTCTTTCCGTCTCTCTTATTCTCTTCATCTTTCCGGAATTTGTTCTGGCGGCACTGATGTATGCTACTTATTACTGAATTATAAATTACCTTGTTCAGTGCATCAGAGAGGCTAAAGACAACCCTACCATGGGGAACCTAATAGATTACAAAATTACTCAACATTTTGTAATTTATATATTTTTGTATTTTTATCTCTAATAATGATACAGGGTTACCCACAAAGGATTAGACTATAATAGCGATCCAAAACTCTTAGAGCATGACGATAAGAAATTTGATTTTGTTTTCTGTCTTCAATTTAGTCTTTCAGTGGTTTGCAAAAAGGTTTAAAGGGAAAGACCGGCTAGGTAACGTGGTTAAACTGAGACTGCACTGTTATGGAAAAAAGTTATGATTTATTTGATACCAATGAGACGTTTTTACAGTGTATGAATTATAAGTAACAGCGTGAATTCGTTTTGAAAAAGAAACGTGTTTAAACAGTTATTTAGTAACTCGAAATAAAAACATAAAAAAGATTATAGCCTTTAAAGTAATTTAATTTTAAGGAATAAGTTGAGAAAATTCCCTTGAAATTGCATAAAAGAACAAATTCTTTTACATTTACCTTAATTCCTTCTTTTGCTAAGAAGTTGAAATCTTGTTCTGTCAGTTTCCAGAGTACAGTGTGGGTACTGCTGTTGTATGCCTACACAGGAGAAAGGGGATATGGCCATGTGTCAACTTTCAAATTTTTATTTTTTTTTCAATCTGCCAACATTTAGAAAGTGAAAAATCTATTAAGTTATTCCAATTCTATGATAAAAAATAAACAAGAAAGTATTTATGAAGTATAAAAAAATATTTTTTTCAAAAAAAAAAGACAAGTTGAGAATCCAAAGAACTGTCTTGTCGATTCCGAATATAAAGCTGAAAGCAAGATATCCTAAAATTCGATGGTACTTAAAGTTTGGATCTTTTAAACGATTTAAATAAAAAAAATATTTTGGGGACAGCTTCTTCAGTTTAAGGAAATATCACCGGGTTAGGAAATTTAAATTATTAAATTTTCTAAAATTGATTCACTGCACCCAAATCGTGTTAGAAGTTTGAAAGTATTGTTGACTTTTAGAGCACTAGAAATTCAAGGCGCTTTGCGCCCTTCCTTCTAGGCTTTTAGGGCGCTTCGCACTCATCTTCTATTTAAATTGTGAATATGTTCTTTTTGTTTACATTTTAAAACAAAGAAGAAAATTTTTTTGTGGATTTCTAAAAAAAATTCGCGGATTTTCAAGAATTAATTTTTTTTTTATAAAATTAAAAACCTTTCAAACACATTTTTTTTTTTTTATCATTCATAAACCTTCCCTGTGGTCACGTGATGTCCCACAAAAAAATTGGGCCCGANAGACAGACAAGCCAAATTTATATATAGAAGGGCAAGATCGACGTGAATTTGTTTCTATAACGCCGTATTTTTCATGAAAGTGAAAGTTTAAACTACTAGAATATCAGGGCGCGTTGTGCCTATTTTCTATTGCAACTGCAAATTGTAACTTAATCTGTCAACGTTTTCTCTTCGATAAAAAATAATAAAGAATTTTGCGGATTTACAATTTTGTGTTCGTGGATTTTCAAAATTTTACGAATAGCAAAAAGTTTTTAGAACAACTTTCTGTATTTCTGAGTATCCATAAACCTTCCCTGGGATCATATAAGGTCCTAAAGAAAATTTGGGCCCGATCTGTTTAGCCGTTTTGACGTTTATTGGATACAAACACAGACAGACAAGCAAAGTTTTTTTAATGAAAGAATAACGTTACCTCAAATATTGAGAGCAGTGTAATCGTCATCAGATTTGATTCAAGTAGCTCAGTCTGGTCACTAAAAAGAAAATTGATCGTTATATCGATCATAAAACTAGAACATTCTGATTGTTATATCGAACTGTCCAGAAGAATTTCGGAAACAAGGTCATTTTGCTCAAGATTTCGTGATCACAAATATAATTCTAGGAATATCAAAATATGTGAGAGATCCCTGGCATTTTGTTCATAATTTATAACAAAACTATCATAATCGATAATCCAACAGCTTGTACTCAATGCGCTCCAATGTAATAGAAATGTCGTTGTCATAGCAGCAATGGACACTTAAAAATCAAATCCTTAAATGACGTAACTTTGGTGGAAGCTGAATTATCAACGTTGCTGGTGAGAGGGGGAAGGATTGCCTTCACTTTCTACAGCTGACAAGTGGAGAAAATCCTTCACCCTCTCATCAGCATGGGTTGTCACTTCATCTTCCGCCAATAAGCTTGATATATTCCATAGTCGTAAGTTTATATCAATTTCTCGAGATAGGAACATCAGATATAACTTTCATGGGTCGCGATCAAGAGCTAAAGTGATTAGCTTTCAGCCTAAACCCCCTTTCATTTTTCCTTTACAGTCCCTTTAAGGTTCCATTTGGTTTTTAATCATGAATTAGGTACTGCAATCGGTGATTTGGTAAAAAATAGTTTAAAGCCATAGAGATAATAACAATTATACTGTTCATGTTTAGAAAAGATAGAATAAGAAAGCTCCAAAGTAATTAATCAACCCTGTGCCACCCGCTTCAAGAAAAAAAAATATTCCTGAGTATATTGACAAGAAAATCATGCAATTGTCTTGTGTTATTATTCTGGACAATATGATTTTTGGTTCGGATTTTTATTGTTTTTTTTGTTAAAGGTTTTAATTCAAGATTTTTAACCCCAAACATAGTAGGTGATAACAAGTCATAGATTTAAACCGAAAACAAACAAAAAAATAAAAATCACAGCAAAAACATAATTTTAAAAATTATGAAACAAAACAGTTGGATATAAGAAACTTTTAAACCCAAGATCATGAACTTTTTATTTAGTACAGATAGTGGATAAAAATTCTCTCATAATTGAATAAAAAACATTTAAAACTTTGAAATATAAGAAAAATTTTTGAAAATAAATAAAAATGTTTTACCTGAGAGAAATCTTGTTAAACTCCTTGCTGTGCCGAAGCAGCATAATTGATTGATCAATCAATGTCTGCGCCAGATCACCTAATTGATTGATTGTTTGATTAATAGATATGTCTGATCACCTAATTGATTGATTAATTGATTGTTTAATAGATATGTCAGATAATCTAATTAATTGTTTGATTAATTGATGTGCCAGATCACCTAATTGATTGATTTATTAAGAGATATGTCAGATCACCTGATTGATTGACCAATTTATGGTTGCGTTAGATTACCTAATTATTAATTGTTTTGATTTACTTAATTGACTTGATTTTATTTTCAAATTTTTTTAATCAAATTTATCGTTTTATAATGTCAACTACACACAATAATAAGAATGTGTTTTAAATAAATAATATACTTTGTATGTCCTTACCTGATTTGAGTTTACCTAATCAGGCAAAAAGGTACCCTCGGATATCTGATAATACTGCATACTGAACATAATTTCAAGTTGAATCGTACTAGGGGAGGCTAACACTGTACAGGGGCGTATGAGAGGGGGGGGGGCTGGCCCCCCTTGAGGGAGGGGCACCCATATAAAAAATACTTTAAAATCTCACTTTTGCCCCTAACTAAAACAGTTTCATTAAAAGAGCTTAATCAATACTGCCTTCAGTGTAAATATATCTTTGATATCATTATTTATAATTATACAATATGTATCGTTTCTATGAAAATATAGATGTTTTTTAAGAAACGTCTCCCTCTCTATTTTCACCCATTGAAGCTTACACCACAGTATTAAGAGGAAGTGTCTGCTTAAGAAAATTACATAAATAATTTATTAACATTTGTTATATGAAAGTGTGTATATGATCGAATAGTTTACATGAGTTAAAAAAGGTATAAATATTTTTTCAAAAAGGGGTTTTTAAGGGGGGGGGCACAATGTTGCCAACGGGGGGCACAAAATAAACTTTTTGCGCACTGACGCGCGCAAAAAGTGCCCTACACAAATGCTCACGTACGCCCCTGACACTGTAAAATAGCTATTATCTTCATTAATAATATTGTTTATTGTTTATCAATTCTAAATGTCCCTGAGTTAAAAGGTAGAAATTTTCTCGAATGATTAAGTTGACGTTCTAAAATTCATAATTATTAACAAAAGAATCGATTTAATGATTTTTCAGACCCAGTGGGCCTCATAAAAATGTGGAATAAGAAGACGTTTGTTGGAAAAAAATGTGCAGTATACACAGACCCTGTTCACTGTTTTCTTCAAAACAGCCTGATATACACATAAGATTGTTTAAATGTCGTCTTCCAGTTCCACAGTTTGATGGAGTCTACTTAATAAAATTGTGCATGAAAAAAAAGTGAAATATCAACCCATTAATATTGTTCAAATTTTTCTACAAAAACAATTATGCCTATTTGAAAGCTCTTGACCATTGCTTGAGTTTCTTGAATTTCCATAAATCTGTCCAGTTCTCTGTCCTCTACACGATCTGATCCTACTGAACCTAAACATAAATCTGTCCAGTTCTCTGTCCTCTACACGATCTGATCCTACTGAACCTAAACATAAGTCTGTCCATTTCTCTGTCCTCTACACGATCTGATCCTACTAAACCTAAACATAAATCTGTAAAGTTCTCTGTCCTCTACACGATCTGATCCTACTGAACCTAAACATAAATCTGTCCAGTTCTCTGTCCTCTACACGATCTTATCCTACTGAACCTAAACAAGGAGCAATCTATAAATACACACTTTGCTTGTCTGTCTGTCTGCTTGTTTATAACCAATAAACGTCAAAACGGCTGAACTGATATGGGGGAAAAAAGAAAAATCTGGCAAAATTTAAAAATGAGAGCAAAAGTTAAAAGCTGAAATTATAAGCGCCATAAAAGCCTGTAAAATAAAATCACTTTTTCTTGAAATCTTGATTGAGAAACTCAGCAGAGCCAAGGGAATGTGCATAGCTTGGTTTAAAAATTTGACTGTGTTTAAGACTTCTATAGAGAAAGTTCAGTTTCCAATGAACTCTAGGTTCTTAAGCTTATCATAAAGAGCAAATTCATAACAAAAATGTATTAAATAAGTAAAGTTTGCATGTTTAAAAAAGTAATAAAAAAGTATATTGTTTGAAAAAAGCAATGAAGAAAGTACTTATGTATCAAGAGCAATAATCTAAGTTTACTTGAATATTAAAAAGAGATTTTCTCTATAAACAGGGGCATTAAATAAAGTATTCTTAATATGTCAAAAAAAGCAATAAGTTAAGTTTACCTGGGTCAAAAAGAGCAATAAGTTAAGTTTACCTGTGTCAAAAAGAGCAATAAGTTAAGTTTACCTGTGTCAAAAAGAGCAATAAGTTAAGTTTACCTGTGTCAAAAAGAGCAATGAAGAGAGCTCTACCAATCCTATTTTGCTCTTCGTAAGACTTCTCCCCATCAATTAGAACACTTAGATCCTCACTAGTTACTTCACTGTCCTGCACATAAAGTTATTTATCCAGAGGCAGAATTTAAAGAATTTAAGCCGGCGCTCAATTGAAACCAGTTTTTGGAAGATTTAAGCCCGGCTCAAATTCATTAAATTCGTACACAGATCTTTCATCCTGACTAGGGACTAGGGGTTTCCAGCAAACAAAAGGTTTCGCGAAGAAATGCGAAAATTTTCGGTCGCATTTCGCGAGAACAAAATAATGTAAGCATTTTTTTGCGCGAAAATGCGAAATGCGAAAATTTCGCGAAAATGCCAAAATTTCGTGAAAACCATGAATTTTATAGCTGCAACACTTAATTGCTGAAAATAACAAGTCAAGGAAGTAAAATTTTATAACGTTTCTTGGAAGTATGGATAGTTATTAAGCAGACTGAATTTAAAATATTCCGAATTATTTTGGTTCTTCCCGTAGTAGATTTTATTTTGTGTTTTAAAGAAGAAAGATCTTAACGGTCGAGAAAGTATTTTCAAGCAAATCTATGAATTGTCTGATGTCTCCTAGTCGTTCTTAAATCTATATTTATATTTTGTGTTAATCCATTAATTGGGCTCGCGGATAAATCCCCTCTTTGAAAATGAGTCTGATATTCTCAAAATTTAGTCTTTTTTGATGAATTTTCGTAACTTTTTTCGCTAAAATTTTGTTTTAAAAGATTCTGTATTTTTCGCGAAATTTTCGGGGTTTTTTTTCATAATTTCCATTTTTTCGCGAAATTTTCGCATTTTTTTACGCGAAATGTTCGAATTTTTACGCGAATTTTTGGAAATGTCAGGACTAGGAAAATTGTGTGGTTATTGTTTCAAGAATCATATATGTGAAAGTAGGTTGACGACTGAATGTCACAATTAAATCAAAAGTTCAAAGACGACTGGGTCAACTTTATATGCAACTACGGTTTACAGCGAAATGGGGAAATCGTTTCGCATTAATTTTTGCATTTTTTCGCATTCGCGGTCGCTGGAAACCCTAGTGGCAACACACAGGCCTTGGATTTAATCTTAATAACTCAATTCTACCTTTTTGCGTAGAACTTTAAACTAAAGCGCTCCTTTGTGTTAAGCTTTACTTTTAAAAATTAGATTAATTAAATCCCTTATCATTTATTTCATTTATTAGTCCATTTATCCTTTGTATCACTAATTCATCATTAATTCATCATTAATTCATCATTAATTCATCAATTAAAGATGGCAATGCTCAATTCACAATGTTACCCTTGAAACCACAATTGAAAATTAACAGTTTTCAAAATTTAAACATTGGTATCTAATTATTAACTTGGTCAGCCAACGCTTTTCAGGGTATGGTTGTGAATCAGGATATTGCCATGTACGCTTCCTTCAAACTAGGCGTACAAACCCTTTAAAATATTTTTTTTAACTTGCCTGTAATTCCTCCATTGTATTTGGATTATCTACCTCTTCTTCGTCGCCAGGGTTTGAAACTCTTAAATAAGTTTAATAATTACAATAATTTTAATAAATATTACAATTCAAACAATTACATCAATATCAATAAATTTACTTCTCGTTTTCGTGCCATATTTATCCAGATCAAGGGGATGGTTTATAAAAACTTCTATTCCTCTTAATTACTCCATCACACATTTACTCTCACACTTTAATTACAATTTCACTAACTCCTCACGTGCACTCTCACATACTCACTCCTTAACTGTCCCAATCACTCATTCAGTAACTCTCTCAATCACTCACTCAATAACTCTCTCAATCACTCACTCAAACTTAGTTACTATTCCTGCATATGCTTGCTGAGTTACTCATTCACTAACTCACCCTCTCACTCATATACTAACTCACTCACACATGATTGACTTACTCACGTACATATTCACTCTCTAAAACTTACTGAATAACTCACTTAGATTAAATTCAAATATGACAACGCCCCGAAGCGCTGAGAATTTCAACAACTTACATGCACAAATATACATAAATATATGTTTATGCCTGAACTGATGCCTTTAAATTGATAAATTGCATGATTGCTTATCTTTGGTAAATAGATAGTAAATCTATGAATTAGTAAGATGAATAAGATCGGAAAGAGAATTTACATTATAACTTTATATGATAAAGCTCTTCGCTCATATACATTTGTATATCTGTAACTCATAAGTACCCTGGGGGTAACAGAAGCTAAAAAAGTCAATATTTTATTTTTCAAGAATAAAATTTTGTTTATTTAATTCCACGGGCAACACCGGGCATTTAGCTGGCTATGTTGCAAGAGTATGTATCTCAGAAAATATTACAATCCATTGAGTTCTATAAAATATAGAAAAAATCCGTCTAAATTGATAAAAAAAAATGGAAAATTAAAAAAATTAGATTAAGAATCCCGAAAGATATGACAATTCTTAAAAATGTCTAGATAAGCTAACACAAGCCAAAGAAACTATAAACTTAGTACCATTAAACGCTTTACTAAAGATATTAACGTGCTTATATTAAAGGGTACACTAAAAATGCAGTACAATCTTACAAAAAGATATTAACGTGCTTATATTAAAGAGTACACTAACAATGCAGTAAAATCTTACAAAAAGATATTAACGTGCTTATCAAAGAGTACACTAACAATACAGTACAATCTTACAAAAAGATATTAACGTGCTTATTAAAGAGTACACTAACAATGCAGTACAATCTTACAAAAAGATATTAACGTGCTCATTGAAGAGTACACTAACAATGCAGTACAATCTTACAAAAAGATATTAACGTGCTTATTAAAGAGTACACTAACAATACAGTACAATCTTACAAAAGGATATTAACGTGCTTATCAAAAAGTACACTAAGAATACAGTACAATCTTACAAAAAGATATTAACGTGCTTAATAAAGAGTACACTAACAATACAGTATAATCTTACAAAAAGATATTAACGTGCTTATTAGAGAGTACACTAACAATGCAGTACAATCCTACGTGCAGATATACAGTGCATTGCAATATAGAGATAAAATATATAATATATAGACGTGCACATTGTTCTATTAAAATTTTATTTGTGCACATTAGAATGCACATTGCACATAAGTATAACCATACATTGTGTGAACCACTTCATATTAATACGTTGTAATCTGCAAATAATATTTTTACATTGGTATGCTTATATTGTCCAAATAGTAACGAGCATCTACAGATAACCAATTTGCACGTTGATAAAGATTTATTGTGCAAATATGAATGTGCATATTATTTATATATGCATATTATTTATATATGCATATTTGCTTCGATTTTCCAAAAGACTAATACTGAAATCTTTCAAAACAGTATAAGTTAGATTAAAGTAAACTATGCAACATTTCTAACAATTGTTTTTGGTTCTTTTTTTGCATATACAGGGTTTTTCACGAAACATTACAGTTGGTAAATAGTTCAGTATTTCTTCTTCCAGAATTTTTAAGTTGTTTACTAGGAAAGACAATAATAAAAATATCATATAGGAGTCATATTATAGTGAAATATCATATAGGAGTCATATTATAGTGAAATATCATATAGGAGTCATATTACAGTGAAATATCATATAGGAGTCATATTATAGTGAAATATCATATAGGAGTCATATTATAGTGAAATATCATATTATAGTGAAATTAATTTCAAAGTTTAATATATTGAGCAAAGGATTTTTTAACAAAATAAACTGTTAAAAGGCTTTAGTATCTAATACAGTGTATGGAAGACGACATTAAAAACTATTTACCAACTGTCATGTTTCATGGGACACCCTGTATCTTCTTTCATTATAACTATTTGGCCTAGTGTAAGGAAAGCAATTTTGAAGCAACCTTACCAAATTTTTGGAACATTTAAAAATTTTTGGCCATCACTATTGCAACCCAGCTATTCTTTAAAAAAGGCCCTGAACATATTTAGATGTATATTTGCCATTGCCACAATTGCAAACATTTCATATTTAAAAGGACTGTATGCATCATTTCAAGTGACCTTCCATGCAGAGATACAATTTCACAAATTCACAACGGTACCCTTGAATCAATGATGTGGAAAATATTGTCGTTTTTCTAGGTTTAAAAGTTTTATTTCTGAAACCACATTTGAATTTTATCATCTTTTAAATTTATAAACATTGATATCTAATTCATACTTGATCAAACAAAGATTTTAAGGGTACCCTTGTGAATAGTGAGTTACCATCTTTCCATGGAGGGTCATTTGAAATTACCTTACATGGTCCCTTTAAAAGGAAAAACAAAGACGACATTTATTTCCCAGAATGGTTCCGACTGTGGTTTAAGTAAATATTATTGTGCACGCACCTATTTCTGCTCCTTGGTCCAAACCTTCTAGTACACTGCTCATCTGAGAGAACTAGACCCGGTTTCATTCCCGCGGAGACACATTTACGATACCTTTAATAACATTGCAATTATTAATTCTAGATTCTTTTGAATACTACTACAACAAAAAGTATAATCATTTTATAATATTTTAAATTATATCGATTTAGAAGATATATAATATTTTAAGATTAAAAAATCATATTGTTTTCTTTTCTTTTAATTTATCAAAAATAATTGATATCTTGCGGCAAACAAAAAAGATTATTGAAAGAAGGTATTTGATAAAATCTACCAAAACTGATCAAAATTTTTAATAGATTAATAAAAAATATGTTTGAATAATCTATTTCATTGAAACATAAGTTTATAAAAGAATAACTTTCTTCGAAAAAAAACGAATCTTATCACAAATTGTATTGTAACAGGTGAAGATAAAAAAAAACTCAAGAATAGACACGCAGCCCACCCATACACCCAAAAATATCTATCTATCTACACCCAGTGTACACTTTAAAAACAGATTCCTCCATACATTGAAGAGTAAATGTTGTTTTAGAGAATTTCATTCCGACATCGTGAAAATGTTATTTAATAGATATTACAACGTTTAATCTGCAATAAAGTTATGTCCTATTTAGAAAAGAATTATTACAAATTCAAAATGTCGGAGGAAATCCTCAAAAATGAAAACAGAATTGGCGGATTCTTAAAATTTGTGTTCGGAGATTTGTGTCCGTTATTGGATGGTATTTATGCGATAAGTCGAGACTAATCTGACTTATCCTGAACCTCTCCTAACTAGAAGTTTTCAGGGGCGCAGAAGAATTTGTATGGAAGAATGGATTTTAGAAAATTTCAAAGCTAAATTTTGAAAGGGTTGGGTATAGTACTTACAGTGTAAGTTAAAAAACGACTTTCAATCATAATATAAATTTTCGATTCGTATCCAAGTGATTAGTGTTTTATTAGTGATTTATAAACAAGTCCCAACAGTACCCATATATTAGCTGCAATATATGCGATGCAAGTTCCTCTTTAAAATTTAAAACATATTAATCTTCATATTCTACGACAAGAACCAGAAAACTGTGAATATGAAGACGACATTCAAATAAATTAAGTTTTATATTGTTACAAAGCAAGTTGTTTTATGAATATGCGGGAAGAGTTCCATATAATCATTTAATTAAAAAACTAAATATCTGTAACATTCCATTATCAGAAAGTGAAGAATACGACATTTGATGAATTCTTACGATGTATTCGTTATTAAGGGTTTCACTGTAGTAAATCAATTATTTAATCAAATGTTTCTGTTAACACTGCAAACTGGCTGTGCCTCGTGACCATTAGGCTATATGAGGTCATGACTTGATTCTAAAGTTAGGACTTCCTATTCCAGAGTTTTCTGGTTCTTACTGTATACAAAAAAGAGTTAATAATCTTACACATAATTCATAAATTTTCGTGGCATTGTTGAAAGATGCATCATTTTTCTGGCAATTTAAAGGACTTTTGCGCAGTGCTTAGGATCTGGATCCGTTGGATCGTAATATGTTGGCTTCCTGGATCCAGATTCGCAAAAATATGCAGATTCAAGGATCCGGATCCAATTGGGTCAACAGCAACAAAAAACTGCAAAAAAATAATTTGCTCTCAAACCCCAAATTTGAACTGTTGAAAAAAAGAGATTATCAAAAAATTTCCATTTCTATCTTAGGTTCAGTTTTAGCATAAAAATAAGCAAAAACAAGGGGAGCAAATTCTTAAATTATCAAATATAAAAAATCAGTAAATCTTAAAGAAATGTTCAAGACCTGAATTCGGACCCGGATTCGGATCCGGATCAAAATCAAATGGATCCTAAGCACTGCGCGCACTGAAACTGAGACTGACCTGCATGCTTGACAGCTGCGTCGGTTCCCAAGGCTGACATCACACAGGTTACTTCCATTCCGACATTTATATTTATTCGCCTTAAAATAATTATTCAAACTTTTCAAACTTATGAATGTTAAAAAGGCAATAATTGTTTAATTTAAATTTTAAGAAAAATTAGCCTCGATTTTCTTTTGTTGCAGTTTAATATAAAAGTGCAGATAAACGTCCGGCATCTTCTCCATTTTCATCTGTTAAATCAATGTAGCGCTTTAAAATTCCGTTTACAGTCCCTTTAAAATTTAAAATCCAATGTTAACAAACAAACAATGTTAACAAACAAACAATGTTAACAAACAAACAATGTTAACAAAAAAAACACAGAAAATTGTAAAATTGGAAACCGAGTTTTGAAAAATCAAAAATTAAGCAATATGCTGCTTTATCTAGGAATAAACCCAACCTTAACTGGGTTTTGTAAAAACTAAGAATATCTTAAATTGTGCTTCTAATGCTTAGATTACAGATAAGTTAAGACTTAAAAATGTTCTGTCAAAAAACAGTAAATTATTGACCATCATGTGCAATGTGTACTTTGCTTTTTTCGCCAAAATATTTTTGGTCGTTTTAAAAATACTAATATTGTTTCCCTTGACGGAAACTTTTATTGAACTCCCTTTCAGGCTGAAAGGGACTGACAAAATTCATACCGAGGGATTATCTAAATTCCACTCTAATATATATTCTATTCTCAATGTTGATGTTGCAAAACTATATTTTTCTTTCAAATGATTTTAACTCTATAAAAGAAACAATAGTGCAAAGCTGCTGGTTCTTCAATAACATCTCTCTCTCTGCAATTGTCTCTATTCGTCTCAATTTTTTTATTTTGTTAATCGTTACCAATATATCTCTTGTTGTTTTCTTCTGCACATTTTATAAAATTGAAGAAAGAAAAAAATCAAAATGTACATATGGATGATATATATATATAAAGTTTAATGCCATTTGTTCTGTATCATTTTGAACAATAAATAGATTTGAATAATAATAATAATATTCTATTCTCTTTGAATAAATCCATAATATGTAATAAAAAAAATCAATAAATACCTTTGATGTGTTAACAACTCTTCTGAAGAAAGCTTTACAAGAATAGCAACACATTCCTCCGTAGTGAAAATGGGCTATGGCAACATCTTTACACACTGGGCAATCTATAACAGACAATATGGTAACATCTTTACACATTGAGCAATCTATAACAGACAATATGGCAACATCTTTACACACCAAGCAATCTATAACAGACAATATGGCAACATCTTTACACACTGGGCAATCTATAACAGACAATATGGCAACATCTTTACACACCAAGCAATCTATCAGACAATATGGCAACATCTTTAAACACCAAGCAATCTATCAGACAATATGGCAACATCTTTACACACTGGGCAATATATAACAGACAATATGGCAACTTCTTTACACACCAAGCAATCTATAACAGACAATATGGCAACATCTTTACACACCAAGCAATCTGTAACAGAAAATATGGCAACATCTTTACTGCACTGGGCAATCTGTAACAGACAATATGGCAACATCTTTACACACTCGGCAATCTGTAACAGATAATATGGCAACATTTTTACACACTGGGCAATCAGTAACAAACAATGGCAATATGAACCAGATAAAGGCAATAAAATACCAAAAAATACTAAAATAGGCAGTTTAAAAAATGAAAAATATCAAACAGATAAAGGCAATATATGATAGAACACAAGGGACAACCTAGGTATAACAGACAATGGCAATTAAAAACAGATGAAGACAAACAAATTATACAATGTTAATTTTATAACAGTCGCTGGCAACATAATTGATAAGCACTGGCAATACAAAACAGATAAGAGCAATTTATGAACACAATGGGCAATCTATAAAAAAAATTACACAACAAGAAATCTAAAACAAACGATGGCAAAAAGATTGATTAGAACACTACAGCAATGGATATAAAGTAAAAAGTATCTTTCCGATCTGGGCAATAGAAACCAAACAATAGCAGCAACATCAACATGCAGAAATCTGGATTACGCAAAAAATAGAATTCATTTTAAAATATTAGTTATAGTTAGTAAATTAAAGTTACGTTTGCACAGACACTTGTTTCTGTGGGAGGTCCAATTTTATGACAATCAACAATAAATAATGTAGGCACCCCNCCTATTTGTTTTCCACACTTAGCTCATGTGCATTTAAATCTGAGCTGAACCGACCTTTTACGGTTCTAGTTTGTACTACCCCGCCCGGTACTCCAACTGCTCTGAGAGGCATGCATACGGCAGGGGTCAATACAGTCGGCCTAGCTCAGTAGGCATGACTAGCTGGTGCAACCATGTTGACGCGGTCTGACTTTAGGCTACATCCGGTTAAATTTACAATCACTAAAGCAGCAATTTTGCGTGTTACCTATTGTTGACTTATTAGCAGACTCTGGACTAGGAACAGCAGTTGGCTCTTCTTGATCTTCTTCCCTCTCCTTTCCAGCATCTTTATTCTTCTCTTTTTCCTTACTCTTTAAAGGAACTGCTGTTCATTTCAAATGTTATGTCCGATTCACAACGGTACCTTTTAAACCAGATCAATGATGATGAAGACAATTTTAATTGTGATTTTTGATAATTGTAAACAGACGTGTGACTTGCGGATTACAGCAGCAGAGATAAATAGAAAGGAATTGACATATTTCAACACTTTTCAAAAAGGAAAGTAACGATATCTTGCTAATTTTACCTAGATCAAGGATCAAAGGGTACTGTTGTGATTGGGACTAAATTCATTAAATGAAGACACTATAGACAGTCCCTCTAAACTTTCCTTAGCTTTACTCACACTCTTCCTCTTTGGTGCTTCTTTCTCATTTCCTTTCCTTGCTTCTTTCTCATTTCCTTTCTTTGCTTCTTTCCTCATTTCAGGACTTTTATCTTTTATCTTTTCAGTTGTATTTTCTCCTTCTCCCTCTCCAGTTCTTTTTCTTCCTTTGCTTTCCGGGGATTTGGGCAAAGGAGGTACAGAGGGACATCTTTAAAAGATTAAAGAAAATTAGCTTCTATTTAAAAAACCGCATTTTTAAGATTTAAAGGGAGTGTTCGCGAAAATTGAAAGGGGGTATGGCTGGTATCTAATTGAATTCGATATGAATCACTACTCAGGAGAAAAGGGTTTGACACTCATACCAAAGAACGATGGACCCTTACAAATTCATAGAGTTGCATTATGCCACTTCGTAAATAGTTCAATTGAACTTTATATTAATCGCTTTATATATTACAACCTATAAATGTCGAATTCTATTAGATGCATTTGTTTAAAGTAGATATTTCATAATATTTTTATTTTATTTTTATATCCGATGTAATTGATTTTTGGACGTTAGGGGTCTCTCCCAAGCGGAATTTCGAAAATGTTGAGAGCAGAGACACCTAGCGGCCAAATAATAGTCTTTTGAAGTAAATTGTTAAATTTTTATTCGATATTTAGGTTTAAATGGGAAAATGATATGTAAAGAACCTTGAATAAGGGTGNTATATCGAGACTTACAATGAATATATATTGTAAACCAACCTATCACTTGAGATATTCTTCTGAAGTTGTGACATTGGTGACTTCAATATATCAACTCGAACTTTTAGCCTGAAAATATATAAATATAATAAAAACTAGATGGAGTTCTCGGCGTTGCCCATGGTTTATCCCCGCTCGATATTAAATCATGATTGCGCCTGGTATTTCAAAATGTCGAAACTTTTTTAGCCCATGGCACCCCTATCTCTAGATGCCCCATAAATCAGACTATTTCGTCTAGCTACATCGAACATACAATATATATGAGCGAAGAGCTTTATTATACAAATTTAATATTTCATCTAAAGATCTAAATCAACTTTAATCTTTAACATTTCATCTAAAGATTTTAATCAACTTGAATCTTTAATATTTCATCTAAAGATTTTAATCAACTTGAATCTTTAATCTACAAAGCTTAATTAACTTCAATGCTTAATCTACAGAGCTTAATAAACTTGAATCTTTAATCTATAGAGATTAATAAACTTGAATCTTTAATCTACAGAGCTTAATTAACTTGAATCTTTAATCTACAGAGCTTAATCAACTTGAATCTTTAATTTACAGAGCTTAATCAACTTGAATCTTTAATTTACAGAGCATAATCAACTTGCATTTTTAATCTACAGAGCTTAATAAACTTGCATTTTTAAACTGAGCTAAAAGAATCGAACCTTAAACTTTAGAAAACATATTTTTACCTTGAATTTTGCAATAATGGCGAATTTATACTTTTTTCAGCATTTAGTCTGCAAAATACAAAAAATTGAAAATAACTATTTGTAAAGTTTAAAACTGTTTTATTCGAAAATGCATTATTAATAAATTATGGAAAAAAATCAAAACAAACAAAAATATCTTTCAAATATTGCTTTTAACTGATGTAAGTTTAGACATATTTTTAAATATTTAGTTGTGATTGCATTTGGTTTTCAGAAAAAAGTTTTTTTTTTAAAAGTTAAAATTTTACTGATTGAAAACATTAATGCTACCTCTGTTCCGGATTCAGCTCTGACGGAAGACGACCTGCAGAACTATTCTGAAAATTTAAAAAAATGATATTTTACCGTCTATTGATCAACCTCTTAACTGACCTTGGGACATTTAAGTAAAAAATAATCCCGCATTTCCATCACAAAAGAAGATAACATTGTGTACACTGTACGTCTACTGTTTCAGGAAATTGAAATTTCATCGACCAATTTGGCGGCACAAAACATCCTTGGGTAAAGTAAACTTCCATTAAAGGGACCGTTCACTTATTTGGGTAATTTCAGGGTAAACTGAACTGCCTATTCGCTCTTGATTGATAATAGTCTTACTTTTCAAAGACAACTGTGGCCGGAGAAAAAGCCGATTTTTCGTTCAGAATTTGAGCGGAAAGGACCGGTCCCTCTCTATACACACTATTTGATGTTTTTTTTCAGTAACAGCAGCCCAATAACATTTAAATTTATTATATTTAAATGTCATTATGTGTTCGTTATTATGAACTAAAATATGAAAACTTTTGATATTTGAGTTAGCAAGAAATTTACGTTTTTCGTATTAAAACATGTAAAATACCCAGCGGGAATAGGGTTAAATATAACTGAGTCCTCCTAAAGGAATTTAGTCTATGCCACAAACTCTGATTTTCTTATCCCTGTTTCTTTGAAACCCAATGTCGAAGTCCTTTGATATTTCAAACTGTGAATTATGTTAGATCAAATAATGTAAGTTAGAAATTTTAAAACCAGGTTCAGGGATTAGCTGTATTTCTTTCTTGAACGTGAAAAAATGTTTTTTTTAACAAAAAAAAAATAAAACAAGCGTATAAAAAACTTTTAATGAATTTTCACCTGATTTGGGAGGTTTTCTTCCGCTTTCCTTTTCACCCCTAAGAAAGAAAAAGTACAGAAAAACAGGAAAGACTAATTTTTTATATTTTATTTATATATAGTGATAACCATTAAACTTTGGAATGGAACGACGACATTTAGACTCAAGATATTACTTTACATAGTCATTTGAATATGAGACATAGAAATGGTGCAATGTGAACAGACCTATATTACTTAATAAGTGATTTAAGTTACAAGTATAACTATTTTCTTTGTAACAATTTCAAATACAATTAATTTTTGCTCTAATGTCGTCTTTCTATTCCACTGTTTTCTGGTTCTCAGCGTATTTTCATTTTTACACGTATCTGTTCTAAATTGTTTATATTAATTTAAAGAATTGACACATTTCATAAGCAATAACTTAGAACAAAATAAAAATTATTAAGCATATTTTATTTTTTTCATTATTAAAGGTTTTTTTTTCAGACCTCGGGTTGAAGAAGAGATTTCATCATTTTTAGATTTCAAATAATCAGCTGGCAATCTTTGAAGGCTGATGGATGGATTACTCATTGATGCATAAATTGATCGCTGATCAATCATCAATGGATGGACAGCTCTCGGATCGCTGATCGTAGGGTGAACTTCTCTCGGATCGCTAATTGCAGGATGGATTAACCTTGGATCGCTGATACCGGGATGGATAAATCTTGGATCACTGACTACTGGATGGATTGCTCTTGGATCGCTGATTGCTGGATGAATTGCTCTTGGATCGCTGATTACTCTCATATCGCTGATTGCAGAATGGATTGTTCTTGGATCGCTGACTGCTGGATTGATTGCTCTTGGATCGCTGATTGGTTGATGAATGCTGGATGCATGATGAACTTGATGACTAAAAGTAGGAAACCCTGAATAGAAAAAAGAAAAATTATTTTGCTGCAGATACGATTGCTTGAAATATAATTATCAGAAATACAGAAATATAATCTGAGAATAACTCTAGCAAGAGTTATTTTAGTCAAATATGGGCGTATACCATAGATAAAGGGGGAGGGTTGCATGTACAGAGGAATATAATTATACAGGGAGGGGGGGATATATATAGGGGAAGAAATATTCGTCCATATGTTAGTTGTCAACAAATATATAAATAAGTTGCATTAATTCTAGTTTCTATGATTAATTCCTTTTTTACCTTGACTTGATTTGACTGATTGGTGCAGGGTGAGCCGGGGCAAATTTGGCAAGGAGGCGGGAAGGGGCGGGACTTGACTTAGTGCCCCGCCCCTAGGAGTAAAGGCGGGGAAGGGCGGGGCCTGACTAAGTGCCCGGCCCCTAGGAGTAGACTGGGGATACTGATGCAGGGTGTGTAGATAGTTTGGCGGGATAGAGTAACCTAAACAAATAATCTTTGATTTCAGCGAAAAAGACAAAATTTCAATGTATGTCTGAGTACTTGTGTGTTTGTCCGATCATAACTCATGACACCTTGACAATATGCTTCAAATTTTAATTGGGGAACTCAGTATAACCACGTTAAAATTCTTAGCTAGGTTTAAAAGGTCTTAATAGAGTGAGTTGACTCTAAAAGTGAAAGTTTAGTTTCCAGGTAAAGCTGGGTTCCAGGTTCCTCAGAAGCTATTGCAGTAGTAAAAACTATTTAATCCACTGGCAACATCTCGGATAATATGAAACATTAATTTGAAAAAATATTAAATTTTTAATTTTGTGTTGCTTGAATGTATAGCTAACAGCTTATCTCTTAATTTAATTAAAAATAGAAAAATATAAAAATATAAAAATATAAAGCACCATTTCTAATTTAAGAATATTATTATAAAAGACGCAATTGTTCGTAAAAAATAAGCTGCATGGGTTCAAACGTTTTCAAAACTTAAAACTTTTCAATTTTACATAACATTTTTTAATAAATATTTTAGATAAAATCTTTTCCATATATTGGCTTGTAGTCCTTGCAGTCAAACAATTTTGTTGTCAAACCATCAAATCAAAGTCTAATATTTGTAACAGATCCAACCTATTTTTTTTATTACTTTTTTCGTAATATTTGAGTCCGGAACAACCCTCTTTTCCAAGGTTTAAAAATTTGTAATAAAAAAAATGTTTTAAAATAATTTAATCATTAAAATTAAAAACTAAGTATTAAAATATTCACCATGTTTGTATTTGAAGCCATGTACAGGATCAACATCATCTAATAAACAAACAAATATAATTTATGTACATTGTACAGTACGAAAACTCAAAGTGCAGAGACCGTAGAGAATAGAATATATAGAGAGGAATTTACTAGAAAAAAGTGTAAAACGGCCATTTTGTTGTACTGTTTCCATACTGCAGGTGTACTTCACNGAAAATAATAATAATAATAATAATAAAAATAATAATAGTACAAAAATACATGCATTCATAATTATTTGATAAAAACAATATACCACAGTAGGGTGGAATAAAATATATTTATTCAAATATATGAGTACAAATCTGGAGTATACAGAGTACAAATCTTGAGTAAATAGAGTACAAATCTGGAGTATGACAGAGAACAAATCTTATTCATCATATTATTAAATTTTACTAGCTCGGGAACCCAGGTTACTAAAAGTTGCTCCCGCCGTTTACCCGCACTTATTTACAGGGAAACGAAATTTTCGCTTTTAAATTCTATATAAGTAAACCCACTCAACTTAGAATTTCAAAACCAAGCTTAGAACATTTCCGTGGATCTCCCGGTTATCCAATCAAAATTTGAGGCAAATCGGTTCACGGGTTCCTGAGTTATGATCGGACAAACAAACAGACAAACAGTGATTACAACTTTATATTTATAGATAATAATGTATTGTATATCATATGTTATATATTATATATTTTAAATCATAAATTAAATACTTTTGCATTGTATTTTTGATATCATTATAATATTATATATTAAATAATTATAAATAATAAAATGATTATTAAAGCATTGTATATAAAACATCATTTTACATTGGATAAATCGTATACAAGATATTATTGTATATTGTATATGTTTGTATGGAGGAATCCGTGAAATTATTGTATGAAGTGTACAGTGTACACTCTGCATAGTGATCAGCTGACGACTATTCTAAGCTTTAGCTGGGTCCGAGGGATTCTACAAGCAGTGGGGAGGAAGGGG